AATGGAGTTCTTTCAGTTTCTATGCATGTGCTCATAGGGGAGGGGCATTGAGGATGATCTTTGGGTGCGGAGGGATTTTGGCATCACCGGAGTCAATTTTTTGTGCTCCATTTATATTTTCACGATGCCGTAGAATGGAAGGGAGGGGTGGAGAAGAGAAAAAAAGAAGAGAGAGGTGGTCGCTTGGCATGGATCGTTTTATTGTTGGATCCCCAATTGGTGAGGGCCGCTTTGGCGTCGTTCGTGCTGCAGTTGTTAAGGAATCTGGAGTGCCAGCCGCAATCAAATTCGTCACAACTCCACGTCTCGATGAGGGTATTCCGCACCCCACAGCGAGGGAACTACTCGTTGCAATGCGATTGGTGCATCCTTTTGTTATTCGGACATATGAGGTGGTTCCGTGTGGCTGCTCCTTGGCGTTAGTGACGGAGCGTTGCAAGACTGACTTGGCAACAGTCCTCTCGGGGAGAACTGCCAGCAATCCTCTGCCCGCGTTAGAGGCAAAGTCTTTATTTAAAATGCTTCTTTTGGCGTTAGCGTACATACACAGCGAGGGTGTTCTTCATCGAGATGTGAAACCTTCAAATTGTTTCTTGACTGCGGAGGGGGAACTACGCCTCGGCGACTTTGGACTAAGTCGTGTATGGGATACGGAAGCATCCATGACTCACGAAGTCGTTTCGAGGTGGTACCGGGCTCCCGAGTTACTTCTGGGCCAGCGACACTACGGACCCGAAATTGATGTGTGGTCATCAGGGTGCGTATTTGCGGAACTTCTACGGGGGTACGGTGGTGCTTTTTTTTGCAGGCGATGGAGATATTTGGCAGTTGCCACGAATATTTGATGTATTAGGGACACCGACGCCCACATCGTGGCCATCGGCGGTGCTGCTTCCCGATTGGGGAAAGGTGTACTTTGAGCCGAAGCGTCCTCTTCCTCTCCGTGAATTTTTCCCGGATGCCTCTGAATGTGCATTGGATTTGTTGCGAAGATTACTTTGCCTGGATCCTCAGAAGCGTTTGACTGCGGCTGGCGCCCTTCGTCACGCCTACTTTAGTGAATACCCAACGTGAAGGTCCATGGATAAAGGGACGCGGGGGTTATGTGTGGTGCGCGGGGATGAAAATTGGAATTGCTCGTATAAATGCGTGCTTATTTTCATTGACAATCCTTTTTGGTTGTTGTTGTTATTTTACTGGGTTATTATTATTATTATTTTGATTATTGTTTAAATTTATTTTTATTTTTTAATTATATTTTGTATTTGTTCCTGTGGATTTTAAACTGTGAAGCCCAATTTTTTATCCAAAATAAAAGAGAACTAACGCGTGTGCGAGAGAGGAGGGTGGCGAGCACATATCTAACATAATGATGTATCGTTGCTTTCATCATTTCTCCACGTTGCCACTGGCGTTTGTACGACGGACTGCTACAAACAGTTACGTCAATCGCCATATTGCACCATCAGCGGCAGAATCAATTTCTATGCTTTGAATAATTGGCAAGGAAATTCTGTCGGACCGCATGACTGCTGTGATCCCAGAGAATATTTTGCGAAGTCCTTTAAAAGAGGTTCCGGCGATGAGCGAGCAGGATGCCCTTTCGCTTCTCCATTCACTGGGTTCACGGAATAAGGTATTAAGGAGCATGATTGGGCAAGGCTACTATGAGCCAGGGCACACCACCTGTAATACTTCGTAACGTTGTCGAGAATCCTGCATGGCACACCCCATACACTCCTTTCCAGGCTGAAATATCTCAAGGCCGTCTAGAGTCCCTGTTGAATATTCAGTCCATGATTATAGACTTGACAGCTATGAATTTGGCAAATGCATCCCTTCTGGATCAAGCCACTGCATGTGCTGAGGCAATGTACCTTGCCTTTCATCATGGTCGAAAGGAGCGCATGACCTTTTTTGTATCGAGGGATTTCTTCCCATCTTGCGTAGAGATGGCAAAAACAAGAGCCGAGCCCCTTAAAATAAAGGTCGTTGTTGGTGATCCAAATTTGATTGATTGGAGCGATTCCTCACTTTGTGGAATTTTGATACAAACTCCAGATGCCATGGGGATGCTTCATGATTTTACGACACTGTTTGAGAAGGCAAAACGACATGGTGTCGTCAGTTGCTGTGGGGCAGATTTGATGGCTTCTGTTCTTCTCAAACCTCCAGGAGAAATGGGAGCCGATGTTGTTTTGGGATCTGCCCACCGTTTTGGTGCCCCACTAGGGTTTGGAGGGCTTCACGCCGCATTTTTTGCTGTCAAGGAGGAATTTAAGCGATTGATTCCGGGTCGCGTCATTGGTATAAGTAAAGATTCGACGGGTTGTCCGGCCATACGCATGGCGCTACAGACGCGGGAGCAACGTATTAAGAGGGAACGCGCCACATCCAATATTTGTACTTCACAGGCTCTCCTAGCAAATGTTGCGGCATTTTATGCCATTTATCACGGCTCTGAGGGTTGAAGGAAATTGCGAGCGAAATGCACAATAAAACCAAAATACTTTCTGTTGGCTTAGAGTCTGTAGGGCATACAGTGGTCAATGGCACATTTTTTGATACCGTCACCGTAAATTTAAAAGGTATAACGCCTGAAGACTACGTGAAATGCTGCGTGGAAAAAGGCATTAATATTTTTGTTGATTATAGTCATGGCACCGTCTCCATATCGGTGGATGAGGCCAGTACCGAGGGCCATGTAGTGTCTCTCTTGGAGGCAGCAGGGCTACAACTTCCTGTGATAGGTGTCCTTTCAAAACTCGCAGAACAAAAGAGAGCAATGCCTTTGCAAATGCTGCGAAAATCTGTCTTTCTTGGGCATTCAATCTTTCAAAAGTACAAAAGTGAGAGTGAGCTTATGCGGTACATTCACCGTCTTCATAGAAAAGATTATGGTCTCACGCATGGTTGTGTGCCCTTGGGTTCTTGTACCGTGAATCTTAATCCAGCTGCCGCCACTCTGTCCTTGTCGTGGCCAGAATTTACCAACCTTCACTCTCTTGCATCGAAGGAGCAAACGCGGGGACATAGTGCGTTGTGTTTGGATCTGGAGCAGAAAATAAGGGATATTACCGCTTTAGATGCCGTGTCACTTCAGCCAAATAGTGGTGCTCAGGGTGAATATTGCTGGTCTTTGTGTGGTCCGCTCGTATCATAATTCAAAAAAGGAGAGCCATCGCAATGTTTGC